CATGGATGAGTCCTCCTTCTATGTGATCTAGAAGATCTTCAATCACAATGTCTTTATGGATGAAGTGGATGGCCCAGTTATATATATTATTTATTGCTTTAACAGCTTTATTCCCTCCAGGATTCATTCTTTTTTTTATAGAACCATTCAAGGAAGTGTTCTTACTTTGAGAGATCTCCACCACCATTCCTCTGTGACCATTACATCCTTGTCATTTATGTCTAACATCTTCATTATCAGTGGAGATTGATAGATATTTTTTTATACTTTAAAAAATATTTTTTACATTTTTGTGAAGAACCGTCCCTTTCTGATAACATTTTTGCTTTTTCTGTTTCAGCTTTCTCCCCTTTGTAAAGCTGTATATGTTAGCGGCTGTTTATGGAGACAAACATTCTACACTGTTTAGGGAAATGTGACCTTGTAGTCTTTCACTTCTATAGAGTTCATACTGTATTTTTGTGTTGTAGGGTTTTGTTGTGGGTGGGGGAAAACCCAGTGCCAGGATGTCTGGTGGGGGTGAAAGCTGTATATACTGAGCTGTGCTTAATAAGATTGATTCATTTCACCCTACGTGAAGTTCCGACTCGTGGTTTGGGATATCAGGGAAAGGATTGGTTTTGAGCTCTAATACCTGCCTTGGCAGAGCACTGGAAGACGTGCCAGAAAAGGGGACCATTGGCTGAGATCGCATCGTCCTCCGCACGTGGAAGCCCAGGCGGAACGGTTTTTCCGCCACAATTTTCTTTACCAACAAGATTTGATTTCAAAAGGAATCTGTTTTAATTTGTTTTCTATATGTAATAAAATATCTTTGTTAAAGCGTTTGGTTCCATAAGAGCTAGAATGATTTTTTCTTCCTTATCTTGTGTTATATATGAATTTCCCCTGGTATACCATGTAAGGTAGATATTTCACAGGAATGATTATTCAGGCTTCATTCACACCAATGCGTTTTTTAAATGCTTTTTGCTTGTTTTTGGAAAGGGTCAGGGACTTCTTTTTGAAAGCAAAAAGCAGCATTTTTGCTACAATAGAGTTCAATGGAGAATCTGCTGAAATGCATGGCAGTGTGTTTTTTGCATTTTTTATTCTGCCCAACAAAAAAATATTCCACTTTGAAAAAAAAGAGCTGAACAAAACACAAAACACGGTGAAAAACGCATCACAAACGTATCAACATGCAAGTGTACAATCCAAACGCACACGTTCCTGTGTTAAAAAATGGCGGTGTGTATAAGTGGGTGCTGCAGCGACTGTCGGCTGGAACTGAACAGAATCAGCAAGGGAGAATGTTACCAGCACACCGACCGAGGATCACCAATATGGGGCCAAAAGTTTTAATGAACGATCACATAGTTACTGTAAGGCAACGTTTCAGAGTCTCGCAGGACCCTTCATCAGGCATGTGACAAAGGGTCCTGCGAGTCTCCAAATGTTGCCTTGCAGTAACTCTGTGATCGTTCATTAAAACTTTTGGACCCATATTGGTGATCCTCGGTGTGCTGGTGACATTCTCCCTTACAAACATATCAAAAACTCAAAATGAACTGCAAAAAGTACTGCAAAACAAGCAAAAAGCAAATTGCAAAGATGTGACTGGAGCCTTACAGATGTTTCTCAGGGCTGCAGTTCCTCTGAGCTCCACAAGGTGGTGATATCACTTCTGCCAAGACAGGAAGTCTCTATGGAAGACAAACAGGAAGTGTAGTCAGGTACAGACAGGAAGTGTAGTCAGGTACAGACAGGAAGTGATGTCAGGTACAGACAGGAAGTGATGTCAGGCAGGAAGTTCCAGGTGGTTTTGAAGTAGAAAAGAGACGTTTACCAGAAGTGGCAGCAGAGGAGGTAATAAGATGTTATTTCCTATTTACACCCAGTAACTCCCCATCATGTCTGCCCTCTTCCTCTATAGTCACATCCCGTCCTCTTCCTCCATCGTCACGTCCGTCCTCTTCCTCCATCGTCACGTCCGTCCTCTTCCTCCATAGTCACGTCCGTCCTCTTCCTCCATAGTCACGTCCGTCCTCTTCCTCCATCGTCACGTCCGTCCTCTTCCTCCATCGTCACGTCCGTCCTCCTCCTCCATAGCCACGTCCGTCCTCTCTCCTCCATAGTCCACGTCCGTCCTCTCCCTCCATAGTCACGTCCATCCGTCCCTCTTTCCCATAGTCACGTCCATCCCGTCCTCTTCCTCCATAGTCACGTCCCGTCCTCTTCCTCCATAGTCATATCCTTCCTCTTCCTCCATAGGCACGTCCATCCTCTTCCTCCATAGTCATGTCCGTCCTCTTCCTCCATAGTCACTGTGACGTCTTTTATCTCCAGCAGATGATGATACACACATATATAGTGTGGGAACCCAGATGAACCCCTTCAGGGGCAGAACATTCCCCCACTTCTGGGGCCGGAACATTCTCCTCATTGTGGAGATAAAATTCTAGTAATATGGTCCTCTAAACAAACAGCACTGACAATAAATAGACAAGACAAGGACCATCCTGACCATACATGGCCTACAAAGGACAATGATGACACTACACAGGCAGCCAATGGGCAATCATTACACTATGCAGCCAACACAATGATGGAGTGCCGGGTCAGGAGTATGGAGCATAGAGCCCCTTACATTGCTGCTCAGGAGGAAGGAAACATTCCTTTGTAACAGAAAATGTATATAAATCTGAGGTGCTTTTAGGAATGTCCGGGGTTTAAAAATAAAAGGGGCTTTATAGCGACTAAAACATTTAATATGTGTAACATTGCGCTGTTTATCTCCTCCTCCCCTCCCCCGCCTGTCTCCAGAACCGCACCCGGGGACTAGCAGGGAGGGGAGACTCCTTGCAGTGTAATGAGAACCGATTGGCTGCTCCTCAGGAAAGGGGAGTGTCCAGCTTATCCTTTCTACCTTTCACTCCCAGAGCCATTTTTTGCATTTTTTGCATGTTTAAAAAAATCATTTTAGCCCTAAAGATGACACAAAACCCCCAATATATACATTTTCTGAAAGTAGAGACTTTAGAGAATAAAATAGCGGCAGTTCTAATTTTTTATGTCGCAAAATATTATCACAAAGTCTAGGAAATGCCAAATTTCAGTAAAAAATACACTTAAGTTAGTTTCAGGGCACAAAAAAGCAATAAATTACACCATAAAAGCCGAGGTTGCAGCGAGTAAATAGATATCCAACATGTCAAACCTTAAGTTGTGTGTGCTGAAATGGTGACAACCTTTAGTCCCCGGTATTATCTATAGGTGACACATTTATAGCCCCTTCTAGGTCATCAGTATAGAGTACGGAGGAGGTCTGCTCCTAGAATTATCCTCTCATTCTGGTGTGACCGGCTATATGTAACGTGTATCACAATCAATGTTATCACGTGTAGGCGCTCCAGCGTGTGCTCTTACGTTTGGTTGTGCATATATGTGGGGGGTGGAGGGCATTAAAAATTTTTAAAGGGAGGAGTTATGTACTTGGTGTAACTTTAATTCTTTACAATTAGGTTCTCTTTATTTAGACATCCAGGGTCTAAAAGACCCCCAATGTCTCCCCTGTACTCCATTGGATGTAATGTAGTGCACATCGCACCGCATTACTATCTTTGCCGGCCTCAATGTGTCAGGAATCAGGGTATGACCAGAGGTGTGTGGACTGACACAGGGAAATGCAGGCTTCAGATATGGTATAAACAATATAATTTATTAAGACTAACAATACAAAACGCAGTGCAAAACTAAACATAAACACAGTGGAAACAAACCAAACCAACCCACCCACAGATAACAATACATACAATGCAAGAGTCATCAGGTAGGGCCGGGTCAGTAGCAAACAGGCAAACAGAGTACCAGGAACAGGCGGGAGAGTGGTCGGGGTCACAAGCTGGGTCAGTAACTCACGGGCAGCGCGGTACAGAGGGTCAGGCAGAGAATGGTCAGGGTCACAAGCCAGGGATCAAGCAGGAGAAGTCCGCAGAGTTCAGGATCAGGCAGGGTCGGCAACAAGTCAGACAGGAACAGAAATACAGGATATAAGATACAGGGGCCCATGGAAAACACACACCACGGCCTTGACTGTGAGTCTGGCCATTCCTTAAATACAACCCCCTGCAATCAGCTTCAGGTGTTTGGCTGATTGCAGGGGTGAGTCTCTGATTGCTGAGAGCACCCGCTGGCCAGCCCTGGTACTGCAGCCCACAAGCAGGTGAGTCTCACCATTATTGGCAAGTCCATTCCTGACAGTACCCCCCCTCAAGGAGCGGCCTCAGGACGTTCCAAACAGTCCTAGCTGGGTAAAATGTTCCACCGCCCGGGTCCGGTAACTGGCGGATATCACAGACTGGCACATCGGGCTGGGCACCGGACAGAGGCACATCGGGCTGGGCACCGGACAGAGGCACAATCGGGCTGGACACTGGATCACCAGGCAGAGCAGCGGGCACCGGGGCCACCAGGCGGAGCAGCAGGGCACCGGGCCACCAGGCGGAGCAGCAAGCACCCGGGCCACCAGGTGGAGCAGCAGGCACCGGGCCACCAGGCAGGGTGGCAGGCACCAGGCCCCCAGGTGGGAGCAGCGGGCACTGGGGCCCCCAGGTGGAGTGGCGGGCACCGGGCCCCCAGGCGGAGCACGGCAGGCCCCCAGGCGGAGCGGCACCGGTGCCACCAGCGGAGCGGCAGGCACCGAGTCATCTGGCAAGACCGCGGGCCCTGAGTCATCTGGCAAGATCGCGGGCCCCCGAGTCATCTGGCAAGACCGCGGGCCCCCGAGTCATCTGGCAAGACCGCGGGCCCCGAGTCATCTGGCAAGACCGCGGGCCCCGAGTCATCTGGCAAGACAGTGGGCTCCGAGTCATCTGGCAAGACAGCGGGGCCCCGAGTCAACCAGGCACGACAGCGAGCTCTGAGTCAACTGGCTTCGACAGCGGGCATCGGGTACACCAGGGTACGAAAACGGGCACTGGCTCATCAGACATTGGATCGTCTTGCTCAACAGTGGGCATCCGGGTCACCAGGCACAACAGCGGGCACTGGGTCATCAGGCATCGGGTCCATCTGGCTCGACAGTGGGCACCGGGTCATCTGTCATCAGGTCATCTGGCTCAACAGCGAGTACCACCCGGGTCATCAGGCATTGGATCGTCTGGCTGGACAGCGGGCCATTGGGTCATCAGGCACGACAGCGGGCATCGGGTCACCAGGCATGACACGGGGCACTGGGTCATCAGGCATTGGATCGTCTGGCTTGACAGCGGGCATCGGGTCACCAGGCATCAGGTCATCTGGCTTGACAGCGGGGCACTGCGTCATCTGGCAAGGCAGTGAGCACCGAGTCATCAGGCACAACAGTGGGCTCTGAGTCCAACTGGCATGACAGCAGGCATGGGATCTCGACCAAGCAACGGACAGCGGGCTCTGAGTCAACTGGCAGGATGGTAACTGGTTGGAAAGAATTTATTGCTTTTTTCTGGTTTTAGTTACTGGAGCACTGTAAGTAAACACAGGTCTGTAAATGAATGGAGCAGCTGAAGACAGAGAAGAGCTGGAGGCTGGAACAGAGGAGGGAGCAGTTGCTACAGAGGACTTCTTTACAGGGTTAAAGAAAGATAGGTGCAGCGAGCGGGAGCAGGGGACTGGTATGTGGTAGTTAGCAGAGTATACTGGGCCGGTCACTGGGGGGTGTACTGTCGGGGATGCAGGAAAGAGTGCCTTGAGACAGTGGAATGATGTGCCAAGCTAGCTGACTGAGGCTGGGTGCAACAAATCTGTCCATGTCTGCAGTATGGGTTGAACAAAACTCAGTTTACACGTAGCCTGTCTGAGACCAAAGACTGCACTGCGTTTATGCAATCCATAAGCACATGTGATGGACAAGCTGCATAATGCTCATGGAAGCAATCTGGATCATCCTCCAACAACCATACCAGTGATTCCACTTGATCCACACCTAATGATGGGAAAAAATCATTCCTGCTTTCAGGGGTACAGGACCGAGCCAACTCAGCACACTCTGGATCAAACCTGGTTCAAAGGCTGCACCTCAGAAAAACTCTGTGCCGCTGATCAACTAGGACAATGAGCGATCCTTATCACATTCTAGCAGTTGATCCCGGGGATACTCCCTTAAGAGTCTGATAAGAGCATAGTCTTTGTCATCAAACACTAGAAGAGAAAATACACAACCTCATCAAGATCCATCCATTTCCCAGCAACAATAAGCCAAGATAGCCTCCCTGTGCACCACTTCTGGTCAGGATTGGCCATGGTGTAATGTCAGGAATCAGGGTATGAGAACAGAGTGTGTGGACCGGTGACATAGGGAAACGCAGGCTTCAGATATGAGTATAAAACAATATAAGTTTTATTAAGACTAACAGCAAAGATACAAAAACGCAGTGCAATACTAAACATAAACACAGTGCAAACAAACCAAACCACCCACAGATAACAATACATACAATGCAAGAGTCATCATGGCAGGCCGGGTCAGTAGGCAAACAGGCAAACGGAGAAGTACCAGGAACAGGCGGGAGAGTGGTCGGGGAGGTCACAAAGCTGGGTTTCAGTAACTCACGGGCAGCGCAGAGTACAGAGGGGTCAGGCAGAGAATGGATCAGGGTCACAAGCCAGGGATCAAGCTGGCGAAGTCTGCAGAGGTCAGGATCAGGCAGTAGGTCAGCAACAAGTCAGAATACAGGAACAGGAATACAGGATATAAGATACAGGGGCCCATGAAAACACCACACCACGGCCTTGACTGTGAGTTCAGTGATCAGGCAGGGTCGGCAATAAGTCAAGACAGGAACAGTAATACAGGAAATAAGATACAGGGGCCCATGGAAAACACACACCACAAAGCCTTGACTGTGAGTCTGGCCATGCCTTAAAATACAAAACCCCTGCAATCGAGCTGTCAGGTGTTTGGGCCTGATTGCAGGGTGTGAGTCTCTGATTGGCTGAGAGCACCCGCTGGCCATGACCCTGGTACCACTGCAGCCACAAGGCAGGTAGTTTCCCACCATTATTGGCAAGTCCATTCCTGACACAATGGTCGGGAAATCTGTCATAACATCACTTCTGGGTCAGGACAAGAAGGGAGTGAACGTGGTCCCCTCTACCTCACCCTCCGACACCCACTGAAACCGGGCCCACAGATGGGGGGGGCCAAGCAGAGTCCGGGGAAGCATAGTAGGTAACAGGAGAGGTTCACACACACACACGGGGTGGCAGAGTGCTGGCACCTGAAAGGAGAAACCCCTGATGGCTTGCCCCTCAGCCAGGGATAGGAAGATTAAACACAATACTATGCCCGGCACCCAGAAACTGACATGTCCCGGGGGCGTCAGGCTAATGTAAAAGTGAACCGATCACCCTGCATGATGAGGCCGAACATTGACCTCACAACCAGCACTGCCTCAGAGCAAACCTAGTCATAGGAAGGATCAGATTTT